TATCATTGTTTAATCATTACGTTAATCTTCCATCTCAAAGTTCTTATCAACTTCTTCTTCTTCATTATTATTAATATTATTACTACTACTACTACTACTACTACTACGATTACCATTACTATTATTACTATGATTATTGTTGTTATTATTATAATTGTTGTTATTGTTGTTGTATTATTATTATCTATAATTTAAACAATTAATCTCGTTGTGGTTCGACCCCGGTCTTACCGAGTTATTTATTACTTCGACACTCCTGTACTTGAAAGAAGACATTAATATTTTGGTAGTGTCAATACTCTGTGTTGATTGGTTGTTTTTGTGGTGGATGAAGATGTGTGGGCAGAGTCACCAATTTGGGTGCTCTGATACCATCAAAGAACGTGAAATACTATAGTTTTTATTCTTTAACTGTGTTAAACAAGAGGGCCATGGGTTACAATATTTATATATGATGATAATTCTAGCCTAAGTAGGAGATCTATTTTAGCAAGGAAATCATAGTGATTGTAATACAATAGAAAATCTAATCTATGATTAGCTATATCTTTCCTTTAACAATTAAGCTATTATTGAGTTTTTCATCTTGAGAATTAGATGATCCAATTCATTTATCCTCTTGCAATTGAATACTCCTCTTGCAAGTTTGATGATCAGAATTCAAAACACAATATAAAAATTAACAAAAATAATGTATTTTACTCTTTACGTCACCCACAAGGAAAAGCAATAAAACATGAATTGCATTTAATTTTACAATGAAAGAACAATTAACTTGAGAGCTTCACTCGTAATGAAACAGTACTCTTCGCCACTACAATCTGCATTAATTGATGTCATCAAGAACCACTCCAAGAGTTGTATTTAATCATCGCCACTACGATCTGCATTGATCTCGTCGAGAATCACCACATGAGCTATTATGAAGGCATAATCAACATAAGCATACACAGTCACTCCAAAACTATCTGTCTCCATAATAGTACTCGCGAGAGTGTGTCTTCTATGCATCTGCGTTAACATAACAAGAAATTACTGGCATGAGCTATTCATTATGAAGACAACTTTGTTGATTAAAACAATAATAGGTTTTAGCGTAAAGGATATAATGAAATCTGGGGTGTTTCTACGACAGCCTCAGCCACAGACATATAGTTCTATGTGAGAAGATGATGATGGTTGAATTTATTCAATATTGTCAAATTTCATAAATAAGTTTTGTTAATGTTACCTGTGCAAGCATGGTATTGGAATCTCCAAGAAGGGAAGAAGTATAGAGCAGGAACTCTCGCCGTAGCCTTCTGTGACCTTGAAATCAGGGATCTGCCCATAGTTATTACCCAATAGTACGCGCTCAACACTTCATGGCATGCTTGTTCAATCATTTTATTTTGTAAGTTATTATTTTTTTGAATTGACTAAAATAATTTTTTTTTAATTTTCAGGAGACCTACAATAGCCGGTTGAGGGGGAGATATGGGGATGATCCTTCGACCTTTCTGGATTTCAATCTAGATTTATAGATAGAGGTAGGATCTTCTGATAGACGCAATAAAAATCGAGTGTACCAGCTTTCCAACACTACGGCTTAGAACTTGTAGGCGGCCCATAGTGTCTCAACCATTGAAAGATCCCAACTAGTATCAAGCATCTAATCTGAGGAGTTCCTGGCCTTCAAACAACAATACGAGTAACCCTCGACGAATTATAAACAACCCCGTTAAATGATCATGGACATTAGATTACAGATGAGTGATAGATATGCACCCCTTTTTTGATAGTTTGATCCTGAGAACAACCAGCCTCCTCCATCTATGTCATTGTTCTGGTTTAATTGTTCTTATTTTATTTATCTATTTTTCTTTGTTTATCTATTTTTCTTTCTTTTCTAAGTTTGGCCATCTTATTATTAAGTTTATGCTTTATCCGTCTATACGACTATCGACGTTAATTTTTTTTTTTACAGATTATTTGCATAAATCGTATTTTACAAAGACTTAATTGCTATGTAATTTATACAATTTTATTTGGATAATTTTTTTTTTACAACAAAATTAGCAACAAAAAGAGAAATTACCAACAATCTAGATGTCGACAAACAGTTTCTGTTGATGATTTTTACCGTTGGAGTGTGTTTTTTACGCTGACGAAGCAAATCCATCGATAACACCGTTAATGACGTTAATGCCGCTAATGGCTGCATCATCCGGATTGCTCCCTTTGAGAATCACCACCACAAGAGCCACTATGAAGGCATAATCAACATTAGGCATAATCGCGAGAGTGTGTCTTCCATGCACCTGCGTTCACATAATAAGAAAAATACCGGCATGAGATATTAATTATGAAGACAACTTTCTTGATTAAAACAATAATCGGTTTTAGTGTAAAGGATGTAATGAAATCTGGGGTATTTCTACGCAGCCTCAGCCACAGACATATAGTTCTATATGAGAAGATGATGTTGGTTAAATTTATTCAATATTGACATATTTCAGAAATAAGTTTTGTTAATGTTACCTGTGCAAGCATGGTATTGGAATCTCCAAGAAGTATAGAGCAGGAACTCTTGCTGTAGCCTTCTTTGACCTTGAAATCAGGGACCTCTCCTTGGTTATTACTCAAGAATACGTCTAACTCACTCTCGGATTGGAACAGCTTTGATTTCATGGCTGTGAAAAGCAAATCCTGCTTCTCCTTGCCTTCTCCTCTAAATATTATGCAAGTCTTGATGATGGTTATAGTAGTCTTTGGGAGGCATAATGTACGTATTTTATAGTGCCAATTAGCCCTATGTCATGTCTTTAAATAGAACAAAAAAAGGCCCTATACTTAAAAAATCTTATGACGTGTATTTGGCAGCGATGGGGGGTATTTTTTAAATATTTTTAGGGTAATTTTATTTTTCATTTTAAAATAAAGAGACACATGAGGATTTCATTTTCACTATTGTTTTTTCTGAAAATAATAATCAAAAGTTGACAAACACAAAAAAGTCAACTGCAAAATAATTTCAAGAAACAAATAAACAATGGCAAAACTGCTTGATTTTTAGTCGTAAATACTGCAACTTGGAGCATTGTGGTGTTTATTATTTTTCAACTTGGAACACATCTGCTTTTTTTTTTATAATATTTAATATTGTGGTGGTTATTATTTTTTAAAGTATTTTTTATTTAAAAATATATTAAAATAATATTTTTTTTATTTTTAACTTATTTATAATATGAATACATTAAAATAAAATAAAAACATAATTTGAAGAAAAACATATTCTAGTTTTTTGAAAATCGCAGCCAAGCCAACAACCATGGTTTTTGTTTTTTTCAACAATTCACTCGAGTTCCTCGAGCCTTCATTTATAATTGCTCCTGTTTAATAATACAAAATAAAAATTGCTCAAGACTTCACTTATTAGATATATATAAAAATAAGACAGTATTTTTAAAAAACTCCATTTATAATTTTACCTAAAACCATGTTCACCTTAAGCCTGCGCATAGGCGCTGATTTCGTTGTGTTTTTTTAGTGGACGAGAGGAAATCTAAGACACAATTTAGAATAATTTTTTAATTTACATTATAAACATTTAGTGTTTTTTTAGTGGATGAGAGGAAATCTAAGACTTCTTTTAGTGTTTTTCTTAATTTAGAATAGAGGCAGGAAAGAACATCATGTCTTATTTTTCTATTAGTATTACTTCATGGAATTATTGACCCTCTGACTAGTGGGGATTTTTAAATTGTATTATCAAACATTTCCTAATAAACATTTGACTTTTCAAAATACTAATCTCATTATTTAGCAAGTGATGATGTGTTAGCCTTCCTTTGTAGCCCCCTGTATTGAGATTGTCTCCTGGGATGTTTCGTGATTGGGATGTTTTGTTTGAGTATGATAATGATTATTTAAAAAAAAATAATTTATAAATATATTAAAAATATATATCTTAAAAAAATTATTTTTGATATAGTATATCAAAATGATACAAAAATATAAAACTAACAATATATTTTTGTTTTTTTTATTATATGTAGATACAGTCTAAAAATAAATATATTATTAAGATAAGCATTTTTCATTCCTAAAGCCTATAGTTTATTTTTAATTTGTTACCTATTTTATTGTTTTTAATTCCATAATAATTGATTATCTTATTGAATTTTAATTGTTATTCTTGAATTTACTTGTAAATAGTAATTGAAAATATAGGATTAAATTTAATTATTTTATCTCAATTTTACTCTATTATTGCTTGATATGTGTTTGATTACTTCTATTAATTTTAATTATTAATGATGAATTTCTATGGATGTTAGTTTAATAAATAAAATTAAATGTTATTTTTTTGCTTTATTTTATTGTTGAATTTGTATAAATGCTAGGTTATATATAAGATTTTTGAATGGAGTCAACTGGTTTGTGGTTGTTGTGGCTATGGTGGTTATTTACTGGTTTGAAAACTTTGGGTAGTTTTTAATATAGCAAAGGTGCTGCTGAATTTTTAAATAATCAAATTTAATTATATAATTACTCATATAAATTTGTGTAAATACATAAAATAAAATGAATAACACATCGTTAGCAAATGATTGCAGCTAGTTCTTCTAGCAGTGATGATAACTTATTCTTAGGTGGCGATCAAGAAAAGGCACCTTTGCCCACTCATGAAGTTGTCTCTTCCAATGCGGTTTCATAGCACAAAGGTGGTGTGCCTTCATAATAAGGTCAATTCACCCGCAAGTACTAGGCACATAGGAAGAACAACCTTTCAATATAAATTTATTTTGGTTTTAGTTTTTTTTATATACTTATAATATAATTCATGAACAATTAATTAATATTTTATTATTTTTATTTTATTTAAGGTTTATAAACATTGAGATCGCCCAAGTAATAACAACGGTGTTTAAATCATTGATAGAGATTCTATTATTTCAATGGAGTCAGTTTTTCAAACATCCTGATTGAAGATCTTATATCGATGCATGGTTTTGAAGATTACAGCTAGGTGTTAACTTCTATTTTCTAGCTTATCTTTAATAAATTATTTTTATAATTTTACATCTCGTACTATTTTTATTTTAAATAAATTACTTATACACAACACAAGTTTGAGTGAGATAGCACGTATAACAATGTTGTGAAGAAAGCGTGAGAGAATCACGTGGCATGTAGGTAGCATAAAAAATAAAAAAAAAATTTGTTTTAAAATCTAATTTGTCACTATGGAAGTAGGTTGAGTGATTTTTAGTATGACATATAAAAAAAAACCAAAAAAATATGTGAGAGATAACAGTTTACAAGGCTGAAATGACATGGTGGTTTGGAGGGACTTTAAACCACCATTCATCTTGGGGGATATATGGGCGCAACATATTGAGCACATGACATCAAAATGCTTTATATAATAGTTTCAGTTTGGTTCCGACTAGCAAAACAGGCAAATTCATGGTTCGGTAACCACGCATACCAGCGGCTCCATTTTCTACAGTGCACATGCGAAGCGAATGGTAATATTAATTTAAATGAAATATATCTTTAATTAATTTGTTGTTACTTATAAATATGTTTAACTTACAATTTTTTTTTTCTTATAGGCTATGTCTCTTGGACATGAGTCGAGCCTAATGGAGTAATCTGTAGAGACACATGTGCAAAGTGAAGACCGCTAAAAAGGGGTCCAATAGTTTGAGGACAATCGCGCTCAATATTTTATGGTGTGTTTGTTCAACCATTTTATTTTGTAAGTTATTATTTTCTTGAATTGAATAAGATGATTTCAATCTAGATTTGTAGATTAAGGTAGGATCGTTCGATGAACCTGGTAAAAATTGGATGTACGGGCTCTTAAACACTACAGGCAAGAACTTGTGGGCAGCCCATAATGTCTCAACCATTGGGAACTCCTAATTAATATTAAGCACCCAATCTGAGGAGTTCATGGCTTTGAAACAACAATACAAGCGACTCTCGATGGATTATGAATAACTCCACCAAATGATCATGAGCATTAGATCATAGATGGGTGATATATGCATTTTTTTTTTGGTTGTTTGGTCTCGGGAACAACTAACCTCCTTTTCCTCCAGCTCTACCATTGTTTTTTTTTTTTGGAAACACATTAAATTTGTAATGAATATTTGAATGAATATTAGTTAACTTTATTTTTATATTTTTAATATTTCATACAATTTTATTTTCATAATTGGTATTTTACATAGAGTTAATTACTATATAATTTATACAATTTTATTTGCATAATTAGTATTTTATGGAGAATTGAAAAAACTATCTTCTTCGATGTCTACACCAACGACCAAAGACTATTGATATATTACAAAGTTGCAAAATATATATTGCGTATGCCACATTCAACATTCACCGATGAAAATTTGTCGAGAAATACAAACTAAATTATTCCGTTGGCATGCTTTTTCAGTTTGTACAACTGTTGATGTCTCCTTTTTTTTTTTTTACTGATAGAATAAGAGAAAAAAAAAAGAACTAATTTCTGAAGATCTTAATGCCAACAGAGAATTTATGTCAATGACTTTTACCGATGGAGTGTGTTTTTTAGGTCGACGAAATAAATCCATCGATAAAACCGTCAATGGCCTCGTCCCCATAATCAACCGCATTGATCTCGTCGAGAATCACCACCATAAGAGTCACTATGAAGGCATAATCAACATTAGGCATAATCGCGAGAGTGTGTCTTCCATACACCTGCGTTCACATAATAAGAAAAATAATGGCATGAGATATTCATTATGAAGACCAACTTTCTTGCTTAAAACAATAATCGGTTTAAATGTGAATGATGTAATGAAATCTGGGGTATTTCTACGACAGCCTGAGCCACAGGCATATAGTTCTATATGAGAAGATGATGTTCGTTAAATTTATTCAATATTGACATATTTCAGAAATAAGTTTTGTTAATGTTACTTGTGCAAGCATGGTATTGGAATCTCCAAGAAGTACAGAGCAGGAACTCTCGCTGTAGCCTTCTTTGACCTTGAAATCAGGGACCTCTCCTTTGTTATTACTCAAGAATACGTCTAACTCAGTCTTGAATTGGAACAGCTTCGATTTCTTGGCTGTGGAAAGCAAATCACTCTTCTCCTTGCTTTCTCCTGTAAAAGCCTCCCACCTCATATGCATGGTCCTTATCTGGAGAAAATGATAAACTAAACACGCGGTAAGAAATTGAAATCGGATTGACTCTTATCGTTGTGATGGTTAGATTGAAAAGGAAGAGAACAAATGACAGAGAGCAATTAAACATACCTTCTGCCTGAGATTGACAAGGGTGTTTCCGGCTGCATCTTTCAGAAAACGACGATCATGTAGGCTTAATAGTTTACTCTTGACCTGGAAGATGAGGGGGCCATTAATGTCAGACACCTTAAAATCACTGTTGCCGGCTAGGTCAACAGGGTACTGTGCCAGGGACTGTGGCCCTATTACCACCACTGGATGCTCCACAGGCGGGTATGGTCTCATAGCTGGAACGGGGTTGAATGGTGCTTGCCCAGTAGCCATAATCACAGAAACAAAATATTACTCGAAGAAATAAACAGAGAGAAAATTAAATAGCTAAATTTCTATACTATGCAAGTCTTGTTGATGGTTATAGAATTAGTCTTTGGGAGGAATAATGTACGTATTTTATAGTTGCATGTCGTGTCTTTAAATAAAAAA